CATCGGTAGAACCAAATTGTATGATCCGGATCAAGAAAAACCATACATGTCTTCAAATGATTCTATATAGCATTGTTTTGCTCACATAAAGTTGGCATTTAAATTAAGTTAGTATTTGATTATTAATAAGTATAAGTTATAAAAAGTAAATATTAGAAAATTATATAGTACATTATGACAATTTCAACTAGTATTCACAAAACTACTCCCTCTGTATCCATTAAAGTACATCACTTTGATCAAAAAACGTGCTACGCACAACATTATTGACCATTAAATTTTTTTAATTTTGTATAAGTTTAAGCTACATATACAAACTTGATATTATGAAATCATACATTGTAACCAATCCAATAAAAGTTTACATTACATAATTTGGTTTTTATATACTATCTTCGTTACTTTATTTTTTAGTTGCAACAAAGGGGTATTTTTTGTGAGATATGAAAAATTCCTTTGTTGCAACTAAAAAGTAACAAACGTAATATTAGTAAATAAACAGGTCAATGTTAGTATCCCAATGGTACAAAAGTCAAACTGATGCACTTACAAATGAAGTATATATATTTAAAATTTTGTATAAAGCACCAATGAAGGTGATCAATGTGATGTATATTAATAGTGCAAAAATCAAAATGTGGCATTTAATTTAAAACTGAGAGAGTAATTAGGTTGCTTATCAATCACCATTAATATCTAATGGTTTGATTTGAGTTCATCAAATTTCTAATTATTACTACCTCCGTTTTCATATTATTTACAAATTGAAAATTTTATATCTTGATTACAAATAATACTCCAAAGTTACAAATTAATATAAAACGGATGTAGTATTAGCTCATTTATTACAAATTTGTATATGAATAATACGAAGTAATAATTTTGATTGGTTGTAATCCCTTAGCTTAGTTCAGATTGCTGACTTGGCACATGTCTTATATAGACAAGTGTTGTATTAGGAGGTTTTGGAGTTAGTGAAATAGGTCATCATGTACCAAATTTAATTTCCTTTCTTATCCCAACTTTTGTTCGTGCAGTGGACTCAAGTTTGATATTTAACCGGACCCCATCGAGAGGAAAGAAATATACTCGGGCATGTTCGGTTTACCTTATTTTTACTAATTTTAGGTCTAATAAATTCAAATATGATAAGGTGTAATAAGTTTATATTAGTCTCGATAAGTTTAGCTCACTATAAGTCCACTTATCCAATACATAAAATTAAAAAAGAAAAAATGTCTAATATCTTGTATAAAATTTTAATGTAAAAACTTATATAAAATGTCAAATAATGCATACCCGTCGCATTGTGAGTCCGAACTCACGCAATACTTTCTAGTAAGATTATAATCCCTCCGTTTCCAAAAGAAGGTTACATTTGATGGTTTTACACGTTAATAAGAAAAATAAGATATTGGAAAAATAATGATTAGATATCATATATATCAAGTATTAAATCACTAAATTAACTTTGAAAATAGAAATATTTGCATTGAAAGTGGGTGAATATTTTTGTAAATAGGAATAGTTGTATTGGGAGTATGTAAATATTTTGATAAATGGGATAGTTGCATGAAAAATATGTATGTATTGAGAAAAATGTGTAAAAAAAATAATTGAAACGCAACCATTAAAAGCCAAAAAGTGCAAACGTAACCCTCTTTCAAAATTGAAGAGAATACTTCCTACAAAAACACAAATTAAATGGTTATAATAAAGATTAAACCCGAATTACTGAGGGAAATTACAAGAATGTTACAACCACTTGTCTTGGATTAGGTTTTGAGATTTTTTTTGATTCTTCGTTTAACCCTTTTGGATTAGTAGGTCTCTTCTTATTTGGCTTCGAAACATACTAAAGAAGAAAAACTCCAAAACACGAGGTAACCCAATGCTTGTATGGAGAAAAAACGAAATAATATCCTAGAAATGCAATTAATATGATCTATTCTAGAAGGAAATACAAGCCTAGCTAATGACCTTTATAAGTGAGTATATATCAATGTCAATTGAATATCATTGGACATATTGTTAATCATACGAAGTATTATTAAAAAAATCGCAATACAATGCACTAATTCCTCAATTTATATTTATAACGTGTTATTATTCAAGATTTTCTAAATTAAACTCAGTACATAACCTAAATACCAATATCAATTGAATATCATCGGACTTATCATCATTCATACGGAGTGTTATTCAACAAAATCGCGACACAACACACTATTTTGTCAATATGTATTAATACCAACGTCGTATTATTAAAATAAACTTGTACATAACCAAGGCCAGTCATAATTAATTAAGCAAGTGCAACTAGAGGTATCATGTCAGGTACTTGAGTCGGGTTCATTAAGGTCGGTCAAATCGGATTTATATCAAAGTTAAATTATGCTAAATTATTGCGTTCATATGAGTAAATATCTAAATCAGGTTAATTTGAAATAGAATTGAATCGAATTAGTCAATTTTTTATACCTTAAGTGCTACCCACTCAATTTCATAGGACCAATAACAAATATATTAAGGCTCCAATTTATAATTTTTTTTACTACCTCTATTTCTTATTATTTGTAATAAATAAAAGGGTATATTTGTAAAACATAACAAAAATTCCTTTGTTGCAAATAATAAGAAACGGCGGTAGTAAAACAATTTGTTGCAACTACATTACATATGATATAAATTGATGTGATCAGACATGCATAGTGGTAGTCGTGTGAAGTTACGCTAATAGTCATACAGTCATACGGAGTAATAATGAAAGACTGAAGTGAAGTGGGTTTATAATTTTTTTTTTCTTTTTATGATTTTTTTTATTTTACCATTTCAGGTAATCCATATTTTCTTTATTCTTTCTAGATTGTTTCTAGCAAAAATTAATTACGCCGTGGTAGATATAGATTTAAAAGACAGAGAATTAATTTATGCAACAAACGTGTTGATTTATTTGGCTGATATGAATAGCTTATATACTGTGATTGTCTACTTTAATGACTTTTGTACTTGCACAGTTGCATTAACTAAAAAACTTTAATTACTTAAAAAAAAAAAACTTTAATCAGTCGAAAATTCAATTCAAGCAAATGAATTGAAGTGGTTATTTATTTTCACAATTAAATTGTAAGAGTACAATTTTTACGCCAAAAGGTCAATTTAATTAATTTTTTAAGGGTCCAAAAATTTATTAGCATGAAGGCTTTATAATGTCTGAGGCGGTCCTCCTTAAATAGTCTAGTCTAGTTGTTTAAACATATGAATTGAATTAACATACTAATTTTCACACTAAGGTTTTACGAATAGCTTTTTTTATACCACCAAAAACATTCAATATTAGTACATTTTTAGGGCGCCCTAAATACATTAGCACAAAGTCTTTAACATGTTTGAAATGGCCTTCCACATAATCAAAACAAATGATGAAGAATACATAAGAAACATAGGGAGTAATAATGTAGCTTCTACGACGAAGCTACACAGTATCTTCTAGAGGTGATCATTGGGCAGGGCGGGCCGAGCTTCGGGTCGGATTGGTGCCCAAACCCGCCCAAAATGGTCGAGTCGTGCAGGTTTTCGGGTCAGGCCTAAAAAATCAACTAAATATGCATAAAAACGCATTTCCAAACCCGTCCAAAAAAAAAATCAGGCCGGGCCAGGCCCAACCCGATTCCGGGCCAAAAAAATCCGCCCAAACTTGGGCCGAACTAACTTTGATCACCTCTAGTATCTTCCAAAAATTGAATAGAATGGGTTATGAAATTCAGTACTAAGGTAGCTTAGATGAGCATATGAAGACTGAACAGTGCAGTCGTAACATAAAGAAGTGCAGCATCATCATCTGAATTCTAAGAAAAAGATGATTATAAAATTAGAAAAATTATGAAAAGTCAAAACTTAATTCTCGTTTCTAACAATATGCTCCCGAAACTATCTAGGCCTAAGTTCCAAGATATCTATGTTTTAATGCTTGATTCTAGATGAATCTTATGTCTCGTGTTATTCATTCATTCAGGTCTACCTAGTTATTCCCTATTAAGGTCCACTCTACTTAAAATTGAATTTATTTTTTTACTAATTGGGATTTTTTTGCAATTTATATTTTTGCAATTTATATTTACTAATTGGTTGAAAAGCTAAGGTATTTTACTAGTGTAATTTGCAATATCAAATTGATTAAAAATTGATTTTTATAGCCTAGATTGATAATTGCATCTTAGGGATTTTAGTTCATTTGTGTCAATTTGTGATATAAGAATTCTATATTTATATGATTTTACTAAAATGTAGTTAGATATACTACAACGTATTTTTGATTTTTGATTTTTGATTTTTATTTTATTTTTATTTTTTTTTATTTTAAAAAAAGGGCAAAAGAGTGAATAAAACAATTTTAATTTAACCATTTTAGTATAACAAAGGTAGAACATAACTACTCATCACATCAACTGATCAACTAATTAAATATATTTTGGTATTATATTTGCCATTTTTTTTTATAACTATTTATGTTTAACTAATTTATTCCAAACAAATACAGAAAGTACCCCATACTGTTGCATTAAAATTTTCTACCATGGCGATTTAATTACTAATTTACTATGAGTTATACTCCCTTGAAAATAAGTAGTCGTTTTAGCTCATTCCTTGTCATCGAAATAAATAATTGTTGTATATTAACAATGCAACATTAAATGTCATTTATAATCACAAATACAAAATTGTAAGTCATTAAATATCATCCATATAATATTAATGGACATTACAATTCCAACACAAGTGAAGTTTCCTTACAATTTACCATTCCAAAATTGTTGCATAATTTGCGATAGTATTAAGCAGTAATCTTTTTTTTTTTTTTTTAACAAAAATTAAAGAATCAAATTTTTACTATTTGCATTATTTAGTCATTCAAAAATTATTAAAAAAAAAAACAAAAAACAGAAGTTAATTAACAAATTCTTGCAGAGATTAAAATAAAAACTATGCAAGTCATAACATCATGAAAAATGCTTAACACAATTAGCATTAATTGGATCTTTATTTTTATCCAATATTTAAAAAAGACATAATTAAGCATGATTTATATATGTATACATTTGGATGATAAGATAATGATGATGATTAACATAGTCACAAACTACTAATAATCCTCCTTAGTAATTTACACTTTTTGATATTTGTTGCATCTCACCAGTAAGTGATTTTCAATCTCTTCTTCATTTAAACACTAAGATTAAAAAAAAAAAAAAAAAAAAAAAAGAGCCTCCTTGATATAATTTCTTTTTAATCTTCTAGAAAAGATCAGCTCCAGTGTCATCATCTAAATTCATGTCCATCAAGTTTACATGGTCATGATTAATAACCCCTTCTTCAAACAACCATTTCTCTAGTAAAGAAAGTGGCACTTGCTCCTCCGATACCGCTGCCGACAACCCTAGCATTGGCTTACTCTCGTCCTGGAACACTTCAACCGACGCAGACACCTGCGAGTTGTTGTCGGTAGTAGTCGAGTTCGAGTTCGAGTTTGAGTTTGAGTTAAAGCTTAAGAGTGACTTAAACTCGTCACGATCATTGTTATTATTACAAGAGGTAGTTTGGGTGGAGTCTTGAGGTGACTTAGGGGTTGGCTTTCTCCAATTCTCGAGCAACCGAGCTATGTTCTCGGTGCTCGAGGCGTAGATGGATGATTGTTGGTTAAAACTCGGGTTTGGGATCGAGTCGGTTCGAGGGAGGAATTCGGGTTTGTCAATAGAAAGGGCTTCACAAAGGGCTTGTTTAGCCATGTGAATATCAGTTTGAAGCCTCCTTTCCCATTGCCCTTTGTTAGAGTTGTTTGAGGAAGAAGTGGATGATGTTGAGTTTGATGAAAGCCCTTCTTGTGATGATAAGTTTTGACCATCTTGCCCTTCTTCTTGCTTCTTTAACTTCTTCTTTAGATGGGTATTCCAGTAATTTTTTATATCATTGTCTGTCCTTTGTGGTAGGTATGATGCTATTGCTGCCCATCTATTAGGGAAAAAAATAAAATTAATAAGAATAAAATTAATAATAATAATAATTACTACTACATGCAAAATTAAATTTGATTTTGTTTTATGTGTAACAGATCTTATAACATGGACAAAATGTGTAATAAATTGTTCAATTGTATTGGGAATTTGTAAACAAATTAAATAATGTAAATTTAGTTTCTAGACTTTATTATTAATTATTGAACAAAAAGATCTAATAATATGAAGTTATTATGGTACTAATAATAAAAATTACTTTAAAAAAAAATTACCTATTTCCCAAAAGGGCTTGAAGATGAATAATCATCTTTTCTTCTTGTTCAGTGAAATTGCCTCTTTTAATTCCAGGACGAAGATAATTAGTCCATCTGAGCCTACAACTCTTACTGCATCTACGTAATCCTGGAAAAAAAAACCGGAAAACATATAATTATACAACCGTCTCACACAAGAATTATTATCAATTAATTAAGCTGCAAAACATATAAACTTAAACTAACCCTAGTAATGATAACAATAGTTTTAATGAAGATCATGTAGAAAAGTAAATAAAAAGTGAAAGCTGGCAGAAGTAGCAGGGAGTGTATTTAATACACAATTTAATGATCAAACCAACCCAAAAGATGAACAACCAAAAGGTCCAAAACCACACAACATGAATCTATACTTTAAAGTACCAAAGAAAAATATCTTTAAATAAAATTAACTTAGGTTATGTATAAAAAAATTGAGTAGGTTATTTAAGCTAGGGTTAAGCCAAGGGAATAATGAATGAGAATAAAATAAACGAATTGAAAGAAAAGGAATAATACCAGTATTAGTAGGAACAGCCCTCCAATTACCAGGACCATGTTCTTGAATATAAGAAACTAAAATGATATCTTCTTCAGGAGTCCAAGGACCTTTTTTCACACCTATTTTATCACAACAAGGAGGTCTCCCCATACTCGATTCTATCGATCTATATTTCGAGTAATTCTTATATGAGACGAGTGTATGTATATATACAAAAATATAACAATAGCGATCGAGTGATCTATTAACTTAGGGTGGTATATATGGTGGTAGTAAGGTCGCAAAAAATTCTAGAAGAAAACTAGGTTTATTATTTGTTGTTAGAGAGAGAAGTTGGATTTAGAGAAGAATGAAGGAAAGAGGTTAAAGACAAGGGTCCAAGATGAGTAGGGATACCCTTATAGTATAGTCTATATATAACTTAAATAATACTTAAAATAATATTAATAATAATAATTATGTAATAATATTAATAATAATGAAAAAATAATGATAATACGCTGACCAAGAGAGAGAGGGAGAGAGAAGGACAAGAGGTTCGAAGAGTCAAAAGGAGACAGCAAGAGCATTAACTACAAAGAGGGGTTTGCAAAAGTCAGCTTTGCTTTGAGCCTCACCGAACCGCGTGGCATTCAATTCATTGTTTTTCTTTTTTCTCCTTTTTTAAGGGACCTTCTTACACCTATACTACTATTTTTCATTATTTTTAAATTTTTTAATTTAGGGTAGTGAGTAAGTGAAGTGAGTGAGTAGTGAGTGTAAAAAAAAAAAAAAAAAAAAAAAAAAAAAAAAAAAAAAAAAAAAAAAAAAACTAGGTTTATTTATTTATAGGAGTGGTAATAGTATAAGTCAAAATATTCTACTAGGATTGAGTAGTCATAGTATTAATTTATGTTGACCATTTCAGAGACTCCCTTCCTAGATTTCCACTTTCCCCATAAATACAAACAAGGAAAACAAAATTACTGCTTTTTAGGTTAGTTGATTATGTATCACGTACCATTTCACCTATTCAATCTAGAAGCTAATTTCATTTATAGTAATTCTTGTATTAGACGGATGTATTATGATAATAGTTTGTCCACCTTTTAAAGTTTAACTTGATATTGGCCCAAAATATTTTTGACCTAACTGGATTAGTATAGCTAGATTAGCTAATCCGCAGTAATCAATACGCGAAAGAGTTTCAGGCTTCTTATATCCTTGTGACACAAAACTCTACTGATTATATAAAATAGTCTAATAATAAGGCCCATTATTAACCTTGCCTCTAGCTCCATAAAGCTCGTACATAGTATAACTAGGCCTTGTTTGGTTCACCTTATTTTTACTGATCTGTCTGGTCTGGTATGATCTGATCTGATTGTTTGATTTGATCAAACTTTGACCTTAAGTGTACAATAATCTATAAAGAAAAAATATATCAAGTGGGATCTTGTTAGATTCGTAATAATGTGTAGTTTATTAATATGTAATTTTCACAATTTTTTTCATTACGAAATTAAGAATATTTAGTGATAAAAAACCGCACATAAAACGATGTTATGATCTGAACTTATTTTTTCTGATCTGATCTGATCTGAACTTATTTTTTCTGAAATAAGTAAAAATAAGTTGAACTAAACAAGGCCTAAACCCAATTACAAACTCTACTTTTTTTATAAGATGAAAGGACGACTTCCATTATACACAATAAATTATAGAGTGACTATCATTTATAAACGTTTTTTCATATGATATGAAACTATCTAAATTCTTACTTTAGTTTTTACTCCTTTTTACCATTGACTAATACTAATTAGAGAACAAAGCATTATAATATCATATATTCAATAGTCGAATCGTTTCATGAAAAGTCATGATATATATGACATATGTACACCCTCAATTCAGAACTAGTCGTTGTATGTCCCCTTGTTCATTGTAAATCTTTCGTTATTAAGAGTATGCCATACCTAGGAATATATGATCTTATGACAGTTGAAGCGATCAACTCTAACCCTACCAATTTTTACTCAAAGTGATGTTGCATGTCTATTGGAAATCATAATAATAAACCATATTTGTAAGTATATATATACTTATTGTATACTCGATACGTATAATGTGACTATAAATTCTAGATACATGTATGCTCCGTATATATAGTATTAGTTACAAAGTATTTCGTAAAAGAATATTTATGGTTAGAATTTATTAGAAGGTTCATTATTCCCATATGATTCTGCCTATTTGCAATTGGAGTTCTACAAAGTTTACTCTTGCATTCCCTATGTATAATGTATGTGGACTTTGGAGCAAGTAAAAGCACAACTTTATCTTATCTTGGATTAGCTAGCGTATTACTTGTAGTTGTCCTATCGTTGACTTTGACATTCAAATAATCTTCTTCAACTTCCTGGAATACTAGCTTTGCATGCCATGGGATAGTTTTATTCAAAAACAATATGATGAATTTTATGGTACTCCACAAATTTTATTGTTCTTTTTCCCTTTTCAAAGGTTGTATTAACGGAATAAAAAAAATTAAGTTCTAGGACTTTATTTTGCATGCTTAGTTTAAACTCCATGTCCATCCAATGTCTAATATGTTTGTATTTAATGAAATTAAATGTGTCCAAGTTAGATACAAGTTTGAGTATGATATCCCACATCATTAGAATGTTCATCAACAATCTTACACAATTCAAGCTAGTTGTACTAGTGCCACTTAGTTTCAGGGTGGAATTACACATGAGATTTGTTTATGGGCGTTTCATTATCTATCCTTTATTTTTACTGAGTGGTATCAGAGCCAACTACGCTTCAAATTAACTTTCTACACAAATTCAATTTATAAGCGGTGTTAGTGTTGGGTTTGTGATGCTAGTCCTCCTTTATTAATGGTCTGCTTAAAACATACAGAGTATTACCAATTGCCACAAATTAATTAGATATAGCCTTCTCAAAAGAAATGAATGGACTAATACTAGTGAAGGAGAAAAATTGTAGGTCCTAGCGTGAGTTCATATATCTTGTTCCATCATAAAATTAAAGTTGAAGTTGATAGTCTTAAACTTATTATAACTCTAGTGCTTTAAATTTACTTGCAATTAGTTTTAGGACTTTATTATTTCTTTGTGGTTTTGTTGGTGAAATATTCACCCTTGCTTCTTCTTCATTCTTGACATGCTCATACATGAAGACTTTATTGATTCTCTATGCCAATTGCAAAACAATTAAGCACACACAAGTGTACAAATGTATGTATGTATGCAGAAAGTAGTAACTAATGAAATAAATCTGTTAAATTAAACTAAGTAATTGAATTTGTGTTTGGAGACAATTATACTTTTTCACAACATATTTATATACAATTATTTATTTTGCCACAATAGTACATCTAATTTCCTTAACAATTAATTACATGAATGCCTAGCCTATTTAAGAATTTATTTGTATTGCCAAAATTATTAGCATAAAATAATTTACATCACACCCCTAAGGCCCTAAGGTAAACTAATATAGGACAATGGTCTTTTTGTACTATTTTAAGACATTGACATGGAAATTATTAAGATTTTGATAAGGCATAATCAAATCAAGGATTTTTCTTGGGGGATTTTCCTTTTGTCTATACTAGCACACTTGCAATGTGTCTTTTTTAAAGACATGTCACAGACAAATGTAACTTTCGATTATAGGCAATGTAAATCAAAGTGATAATGTAATGGACCAGGTAAATCTTTCTCTACTTGATTTTGACTCATTCATAAACAGGATTTCCTACATACATGTATAACACTAATCCGCGGCAGCCTAGCTAGGAATTTAGGAAATTAGTGTGCTACTTTTAAAAAAAATATCTAAAATTGAAAGTACTAAAAATAAAAACCAAAGGGGGTTCTTTCATTTTTAATTTGGACTAGTTAGCTAGGTGTTTGGCTCGTGCGAGGTATGAGATGAAAAAAAAAAAAAAATACCATAACAAACCTAGTGATGACGACTAGCTAGGTTTCTAATCCATTTTTTTTAAAGTAAGAAGAACAAGACCTACCCTACGTTCAATAGGCCATACTTAACATGTTAATAAAATCAATTTAGAGTGTTGATCCAGTACAATATGCAATAGCCCCCTTAGACATATAAAGTAATTAACTCTCTCTTCCTTTTTCAATGCAGGAGACTTACATATGTTACTTGATAGGATATACTTCAACACTCCCCCTTACATGTTCAATTTGGCCCAGAATACTTAATGCCATTATGGGTCCCATACCGTGGGTCTGACTCTGATACCATATTAAATACGAGTCTGGGCCATCCGCATATTAAGAGAGATAGTCCATTTCTCAAGACCAAAGGAGATTCCATCCCAATACCATATGACGATAGGAGGAGTAGTCCCTTAGCCTTATAAAATGATTAACTCTCTCTTTTTATTTTCAATATGGGAGACTTTATATGTTATTTGGTAGGATGCAACATTAATTACGCATATATGTTGTTCAATTTTGCGCTATTCTCGTATGTACTTGGGTAAATACCGACAAGATAAAGTTAATATACTGTAACAAGATACGGTTAGGGCATGCATGAATATAATGCATGATGCATGAACAACACTTTATGATGAGGGAAGCCCAAATTATGGGAGACCTGAAGTGAAATACATATGCCTCCTTTGTTATTTTGTAAAACGGATTTAAGGCACTAAATCAGAAAATTCTTATTACTATTTACTAATTATTTAAAAGGTAAGAACAGTGCTACTAGTTTGAAAACCCCACACGGATCAACTTAATCCAAGTTAATTAACATACTAAATATCATGAGAATGGTGGAGGTCGGAGGGTATATATATAGGATCCTCTCTCAAAGTGTCTCTAGAGGAAGGTGTAATTCTTTTTATTAGACTAAACTTAACTTAGTAATTTAAGGAGCTGTTAGAGAGTGAAATGGGAATGTAAATTTATGTAATAGATATAAAACGAGTTTTTTTTTTTTTTTGTACTATGATGCATGTCATACATACATAATAGACCGGCACCCATATTAAGGTAAGTTGTCATTCCATAAGGAATTGTTCCCAGCCCGAAGGGTTTATTTCATTCAATCAGATCATATCATATAATCTTTTCAAAGGCATTCAACTACAATACTACATGCTTGGGCAATTGTATGGTTTGTGTCATTCATTTTTGTTTTTTTTTTTTTTTATAACATAGGGAATCTAAAGTTAAAAACTATAAGAATAGGTTTTTTTTTTTTTTTTTTTTTTTTTTTTTTTTTTTTTTTTTTTTGTTTAACTTGTTTGCGACATGGCTGACATCCTAATTTTGGAATAAAAAAAAAACTTTTAAAAGAAAGCATTGTATGCATGAGTAATTGGGTATAATTAGTATAGTACCCGTGTAATT